AAGAGGGTATAATGACTGGGTGATCAGTGTAATGTTTTGTTTTAGGGATATGATCATCTCTGTAATGACCCCGCCATGACGTACAGAGTGGACACTATGCCGGGCCTGGGATGGTGAGTGGTTCGAGAGGGAAAAAAATATATATAAAATGGCCTTCTCACTATCTCCAGCAGTTGTTCACTATCTTTCAAAACCTTTTTTCGACAGACTTCTAGTATGATAAATCGCTTTGATATCAGATTATAATTGATTGGTATCAGATGAAGAAAAATTTCCAATTATGCTGAGGCGGAGAATAGTTTCGCAGGATTTGCCTTAGAGGGAGGTTCCGCACCCGCTGGGTCAACAATCTTGGACCGTACACTTTTGCTTAAAGTAAGGTTCAAGGGGGAGAGGCAGTGATACGTTGGCTATAAAGGAGGGGATTTTAATGAGCAGAATCTGCAGGGTACATGCCACTCAATATTACATTTGGATTCCTGGTTCCAGGGTGTTGAGTCGTAAGCTTTTTAAAAACGAACTGGAGGAGAAATGGCCAAAGCCTGAGGACTTTGTGGACTGGGACATATGGATGCGGGCTAACCACAACAGGAAAGGTCGAGAATGTATCATCCCTGACATTTCACGAACATATCATTTCGGCGGCAAGGGGCTGAACGTGGGTGGTCATATGCAGGCTCGGTATTTTGCAAAACACTCGCTGAATACAAAACCAAATGTAAAGCTGGATGTTGATAAAATGTACAAAGAAAACTACGAGAAGGAGATCAACCAACTTCTGAGGTGAGCTGTCTCATCTGCCTCTGTTGAGCATTTGTTTAATCAGCCTCGGTTCCAATGCTTTCCCCACGTAAATCGGGAAAAGTCCTGGAAACGAGGTTACTGTCTAATGTCTCTGTTTTGTTTGGTTCCATTCTTTGAAACCTTTTACGCCTAAAAGTAACGATCCTCCTTGCTCTGTCTTTAAATAATTTGTTGGTTTAGGGTAGACACAACTTTTTTTTCTGTTATTATTTATCGCCTGGAGGGGGTAGGAGTATTTAGGGGCAATCGCATGGTCTACTAATCTCGTACCCAGATCCCACCGTTTAGCTGTAACTGAATGCAGGAACTCAAAACTGCTTGGCCGTGGAAGGTCTGGTTACGAGACTGATGGTTTTCAAGAGGATTGGAGGGGCAACAAACTTGGTGAACTGTTTGAGTAATGTGCTCGTAACAATGCCAACATCGCGTTTAGCTTGTTAACTTTTGACGGTTTCTATGAGGAGAAGAGCGGATTAGTCGGAGGAAACCCTGGGAACCAAAAAAATAGAGCTAATCACACGCTGAACCAACAGGCGATGTTAGGTTCTATTATCGACCATGGGAAAAAGCTATAGGAGACGAGTTCTTTCACAAAATCATAATATCTCCTTTCACTTAAAATATGAATCGACAAAAATGATCATCACTCCATTGCTTGTTTTTTTGTTTGTCCTTTTTTAGCAAAGCTAAGGTTTTGGACCACACGGAGACGCCGTGCACAAGATTCAGAAACTTTGTTCCTGACACTAAAGGCGAATTGTACGTGTTTTACATAAGAATGGATGAAACTTTCGATCACAAGACCTGGAAAAACATCGCTACTTGTCTGAAAATGTGGGATTTAGACGCGAGAGGATATCATCATGGCTTATGGAGGTTTTGGGTCAAGAAAAACCACGTGATAGTCGTGGGATGCCCAGCATCAATTTACTGCTCGCACAAACCGAAGGATTTAAAGCCTATTTATATTCCTGAGAGAGTGGAGCCACCAGAAGATGAATATGATTCATAGAGCGCTTTTCGATTGAGTGTCGTGAAAACAGAGCCAAGTTAATCACAACAGTTAATCAAAAGGAAGAAAAGTACCTTTAAGAGCCAATCAGAAGAAAGATAAGTTCCTTCAGGAGCCAATCAGAAGAAAGATAAGAACCTTTAAGAGCCAATGAGAATGAGAAGTAAAACCTACCAAATTTCCTTTGACGCAAGAAAACACAGTCGATCGAGTTTTGCATCTGATTGTTTGAGAGAGTGGCATGAGTTTTCTTGACCAATCACGAAGCGAAAAAAAAGCAATCCCTAATAACTTTCGACACTCGATCAAAAATTGCTCTTACTAATAAGGAAAAAAATATAATGTATTACTAGTTTTTATCAAATTAAATCGAGAGATTTTTACGTGCTATAACTTCATATCTCTTTTTTAAAACGTTCTTTGAAGGGAAATTGCATGGAAAAGCGATTAGCCAATCACAGGCTGCGAACTCATTCGTTCCCAGACTTTTCTCTTCGCCCGTCTGTCTGATCCTACTTGCATACGAAAGGACATGTTTTTTTGGATCGTTAAAGCTATCAAAAAATTCAAAAGTTCATACCCAAGAACGGATTTATTTTTAAGGCGTAGCCTGTATCTAGGAGACATCTTCATAAAGAATCTATCCGATGAGAAACTTGAACTTTCAGAAGCAGTTACCCGTTTTTTTTTAAATTTCGTTCCCAAGGTCCTCTCTTTTCATCTCTCGAAAAAGATCTTTCTCGGAGAAGGAGAGAGGACCCTGGAAGTGAGGTTGCTTTTTGTCTCCGGGATTTAAAGAATATCAAAAGCCCTCAGCTTGACAGTTACGCGGGGAAGACTGAAACAATAGCGTGATGGCTTCTGCGTCTAGGATATTTGCAAGTTATAAACCAAATAAAACAAAGATATATTGACAACAAAATGACGTCATTTAAGAATTAGCATCAAAAGCCTTTTTGCGGATGCTCGTGACTTCCCGTCAGTCATGATCTTGATACACAAATTGTTAGTGGCTTGGACTCAGACAATTCTTTTTATAGTTTACTTTTAGAGTTTACGTTTAGAGCTTATGTTTCATTGAAATTGATGTTCAAAGCTTGATCTCAGCAGAAATGATCATCTCCTCCACGTTTTGTCTCGTTTGGCATTTCCTCATTCGCTCGCCCTTTTCGTGCGAAATCTCACAATTATACCGTATTACGAGTCAAGTTCGAGTCACTAGTCAGCGCATCACTTTGCAGCTATGAGCCAGTACAGAATTAAAATTTACGCTTAAAACTTTGTGTTCTTGCATTCCTGGTGCATCATTTTGACACAGAAATCAAACCCCCTGCCCCCCTCCCCCCCAAAAAAATATAAATCGTAAACGAGGAAATTTTGACTCTACCAAACGTGACCCGTGAATCAAATTCAACTCGGGCTCGAGCTGAACATTCGATACCGTATGGCACTGAAAATAGTCGAAGCCAAAGTGAATAGTAATGAATAATCACTGAGTTGTGGTTAACTATTCTGAGTAGCTGGCGGCTCTGAAATCAGCGCCAGGGTCGATTAGAGTTTTTTACTCGTTACGAAATAGAGCTGCGAAATATTGGATGGTTTAACTATTGTATCGAAATGTAGTGCTCGACAGCTAAATCAAACCTTGATCTCTTGCACTGGAATTCGTCGTTGGAAAGATCAACAAAAGATACTACTAAGTAACTAAATGCAATTTGGTCAATAATTGACTGGTTCTCCGTAACAATTTTCCCTTTGGTAACCGTAAAGAAACTCAAAACTAATTCGCTTTTCTTTGACCGATTGGAGCTATAGGGAACGTTAGTTAATGTTGAACGAACGAGTGTGCTGTACTGTGCGCCTTTTGCCTTTGACTTTTTTACATTAAACGGTATTTCAAATCGAACCTATTATGACCAATGCATGTGTTGCAAACTAAACAGAACGCACTCCAGCATTCATTCATCATTGCAGCACTTATAAACTTACTTTGTTATCAATAAAGATTTAGTTATACATAAACACGTAAAAAATAGCGATATGAACCGACGTTTCGGAGTCTTCATAACGCCATTGTCAAGGTAAATTTTAGGATAATACTCACAGAATTCATTAAACTGACTTTGACACGATTTTAAAACTGAATATTTGGTGTCAGCTTAGTTCCCGGTGTCCGCCGGCTTAACGCTGGGTCCACTTAGAGCAGCTTTAAGCAATAAGGAATTATTATCGACACGCAATTGAAAATTGTTCTACCAATATTTGTTTATAAATTCCTTTTCAGGCTACATTCCGTCATCTGTCAGTTCAAATATCAAGGTAGTGAATTGGATACCAAAGAATGATCTGTTGCTCACAGGGATATCAAAGCTTTTGTATCTCATAACGGAACCAACAGTTACTATGAATCAGCATATCATGGGGTTCCTGTGGTGGCTGTTCCGTTGTTTTTAGACCAATTCTCTAATGCCAGGAAAGCAGAATACTTTGGAATAGCAACAGTATTAGATCACAAAACCATGGATGCTGAAAAGCTCTTTAAGGCCATAGAGCTTGTGATGAATGAACCAAGTTATTTTCAAAAAAGTATTGCTACACTCGTTTGGATTCCAATTTCTACGGAATTTCTTCCCATGAATATAATGCCTGTTTGAGGAATCACTTTCCTAGTAGTTTCCTTGGCTGTGGAAACGTACTATTATTTCAAGACAGGCGAATTTTTTTCATTCATTTTCACAACAAAAATACCTGTTCTTCCCTAAAAGCCTCGTCACTATCTCTAAAATTGTTCATGTACAAGCATATTCAAGCAAATTTTCAACCACATATTGATCCTCACCAGCAGTACCAACTTAGTACTGCTGGTGTAATTCATTGCCGTGTAGAAATAGTGACAAAGTCTCTACAAGCCGCTGTTGCTGTAGTCATTTTGAAATATTTTAATTCACATCTTTTTGGGATTCAAGTAATGAGCCAAACGCATTTCTTGGCCGATGAAATAGATGACCCTCGTGTCAGCCATTTAGGAATCAAATCCCCTCTTTGAATCGCTCTCCCGGGCCTCTGAGAGGTTACAGATTGGGTGCATGAGCCAATCCTTTCAGCAATTTTCGAATTGTTTTATTTAAGATTCAAGGAAACAGCCATGCGCATTTCTCATCTGATGAAAGACAGTCCACGGACTCCCCTAAAGAAAGCTGGATAGACTGACTGGATAGAGTATGTGCTCAGACATGGTGGGACCCGACCCTCAGAGCTCAAGTGTTTAACATCCCTTGGTACCAGTACTACTTACTTGACGTCACAGCTTTCCTTGTTGCCATAGTAGCGATAATTGTCATGGTGATAAGATTGGCATGTCGATGCCTGTGTCGTATATGCTGTAAAAGGAGAGTTGGCAAAACTAAAAACGATTAAAATCTTGATTGCTGCTCTCCTTTAGCACAATTTAGCGCGATTAGAAATAACACACCCGTCGACTCAAACTCGTTATGTGTCACAAGATAATTGGATTTGATCAAATGAGTTTGTAATATAAATTGACCCTCATGAAGAGTTTCTGCAGCTGACGTTTCATGCGTTACCCTTTTGTCATGCGCTTTGACAGCGAATTTACAATCTCAATTTAGTTCATGTAACCACACTTTTTTTCTTGAAATAACCCCAACCAACACAGCACCAGAGTTTCCTCAGTTATCCCCTTTATCGCATAGTTCCCTCAATTTGGTAAGACAACGAACCAGCGAAAAATTTTAACACCTGACTAAGGCCTTCCGGAGTTTTATGACCATGCACCATTCAGTACAATTCAAGATTTTGCAAATGTTTTCTCTAATTTGAGAAAAACAAAATTTTGAAACTTTTCGCAAGATTTTTTATAAGTGTGTCGCTTTCCCGGCCTGCTCTTTCACTCGACTTTTCGGACTGAGAGCACAGTACAATTACTCCATAAAATTTCCGTACAGTTTTTCCGTTGCAAGCCTTTAAAGACTATCTGACCTCCTTTTCATTACCATAAACTGCAGCGCAGTCGATTAGTCCACGGCATTGGTGACCTTATCTGGTTTACTTTTACATGTCACAAGGCCAAGAGCGGGTAGCGAACCACCTTTGTTTAATTTGATGGTATCTATGTGATTTTAAG